TCAATATGAATCATAGTCATTATATACAAATTAGATCAGGAAGCTGGAATTGATGCCCAAATTAAAAAAAGAAAATTATGAGAAAATATGTTCAAAATTTTCTGATGAGTAAGAGCACCCATTTCAATGAAGGGCAAATAAGTATGGCTTGCGAATACACTTATTCTAGAGATATTGTCTTATTTACAAATATCGACTTGTGTGGTGTTCGTGCACATTTGACACACCACCTTACAGCACCATTCAAACTTGCAATTGCACTTTGTGGTCTGCTCAACAGTGTAAGTGTTATAGCCTCGTCCACAACATAACGAATCGCAACCGTCTGCTCCATCAGAACCTCGCCTGAAAATTACACTTTCATTTAAAGGCTAGTCTCGGATGAGGGCGGACGTCTATATGAGATAAGGGTCGCGAGGCGGCGTGCGAGCGTATACACTTCATGCGCCCCGGCGATCAATACTGGGTGGTCAGTGTGGTGCTCGCGGCCGCTCAGATAGACCGCTCGCCTACTAGTTTTTGCACTTTATTTTTCTCCTACCTGCAAATTCGTCCCTGTGTGCCCAAAGTCCCGGCTGCTCGGTCTGGCCTACAGTAATCTGGTGAATCGTCCATAAAAACGAGGTCAGTTGGCAGCGCCCTCGTCTTCCTTCTGCCTCCAGGATCCTTCGGAAGTTGATCGGCGACCAGTTGTAGGTTACCTCGTGAATTCACCTAGGTAGAAGCAATCAGCAAGTTGGTCTGGATAGGTCATGTCGTCAGTCAATTCCGCCTGCGCGGACATCTGGTACGAGTTGTGGTGTGTCAATATGTATGCTTTGTGGCAGTTGTCCGCGCGGGCGGAGCCTACCGGCACTAGCCGTTTATCGATATAAATTACCATCCCGTTTTTGCCAAAAGAATTAGAAAAAATTCTGACCTGTACTCGAATAGCGTTCTTATACTTATTTTGAAGTATATTCCCAACTTGTCGCATTGTTGGCAATTGCATCCAGCAAGTTTTCAGATTACAAGCTCCTGATACACCATGACATTTGCATTTCGGAGCCGTGTGACGTTTCAAAATCTGAACTATAAAACTGCAAAATGGAATTTATCAAGAACGAAACTAAAAGCTCCGCTATTCACCTTTCTTCCTGCCTCATTATTTCGTCTATTCATTAATGAACGACCGTGGTCGTTATCACGTTTTGGATCCCTCTCCTTTTCTCGGATATCGATGAAGTTCCTAAATTGCAGATGAATAGGAAAAATATGAGCTTTCAGAGATCCAATATCGTGACGTTGAGAAGAATTCTGCAGTGGTGAAGATGCAAATATCAAAAAATTAAAAGATAATTGTTGATTCCCCATTATTTTCCTCTAAAAGTAAGAAAGCAAAGGTAACAGTTGCAAGAAAACATCATCATCAGAAGACGATGCTTACGCTAGGATAAGCATTTTGTAAATTTTTAAATGAGCTTTATACAAAGCTGATTGTATTATATTAGGTTGGTCCGAAAGTTTGTTCGCACCATTTTCAA